CCACAGCTCCGCTTGCTCCTTGCGCACCCAGCTGACCCACCCTTGTAGCTTGACTTCGCCGGGAAACGTCGCTCGGTGCCTTTCTTCCTCATGGCGGCCAAATCACCGTGATCCCGCTTCACCGTGGCGGAGCTCTGCGGTTAGCCTCTGCCTTTGCGGTGTTGCTCCATCTTCTCCATGTTGCCGTGGTGCTTTGTGCCTTGTTGCTTGATCATTTCGGTCCACCGCGACCACCGGAACACCGTCATCGACGACAGCTTGCTCCGCCGTGTCTGCTCTGCTCTTTCTCGCCGACCCGCTTTTCTGTTGCTCCTCCGATTCGGCCATCAACTCCAGCGTGTTTGGGGTTAGCTGTTGTTTCTTCCCAAGCATTTTGTTTAACCATTACCGGCCTCCCTTCGTCGGCGTATCGTTGCCGCACCGCCGTGTCCGCCATGGCCGACGTCGAGCTCGGTTTGGGCTGTAATGGGTGTAATTAGTGCCATCAATAGGTGCGCCTCGTCGTGGTGATCACGTTGGTACCCTCGCCGTCGCCGTTGATCTCACCGCGGCGTAGAAATCGCCGTCAAAACACGATTAAATCGTTCTTTGCAAGACGAAGCACTTTGTCTTGACGAGTGGGGTCACCTCAATGATTGGATCGTGTTGTTTGAAAATGGAATTTTTCTTTTTCGAAAATGAATGAATAGTATAAGTTTTTGTTATTTTTGTATAGAATTAAATAGAGCTCCAAAAATTATGAACATTTTTGTGTGACCTCTCTGAGATGTAAACTATTTAGGAAAAATATTAAATGTTGCTTTTCAGTACTTTTTGAATGTGATAAAAATTGCTCAATTAATTAATAAATGAGTTTCCCTGATTTTTCTAGGCTTAAATAATTATCAAAAACTTATGAAAATTGTTTTGCACTTAGTTATCATATAATGAACCTTTACAAAAATTTTGAGCTCAATTAGAGAAAGTTGATTTATTTCATAATTTTTAATTAAATAATTAATTCATAAAAGCAAATAGTAAACCTTAATGATTTAGGTTTTATTTGAATTTTGGATTGAGTGATGACCTTGGGTCATTAGCATAAGATGATTCTTGGTACTTAAAGTAAGTAGTTGGGTTTATGAAAAAGGTTTAGTTAGTTTTGACTTGTAACTGTACCGCGAAGGAAAGTTGTATTCAAGTTAATAATTTTTGCATCCATCGTCAATCATCATGTTTTATATCTCGCATCATGTTAAACATGGCATTGTTACTACGTGTAGTGAACGAAAGCAAGAACGTGGTAGTCAATCAAGTTGTGGAGGAGGTTAATCCGTCTGTTGAGGTCGGATTTGATATCTGTGGAACGTCTCCGGAACCTGACTTTTCCGTTAATCAAGGCAAGCCCCGGATGCATTTAAACCTACCTTATGCTTTACAAATTTATATCGCTTTTGCTTTTCAATACTGCATTAAGTGATTAGGAGTTGAGTGAAAACCTAATTGGTGCATTACCAACCTTGTTTTTCCATATCAATCTTGTTACCCGTTTTAATTCGAGAATTGCTTAGTTATGTTTAGTCATGCTTAGACAAATAAACGTCGGGTGATTACCTGTCACCTGTAAGAATTACATGGGATTTTGATATGATTGGTTACTTATGTTATCATGAGATATGAGCATGTGAAGTAATAAATCTAGACCGGGCGGACTCGGTGTGTGAAAGCCACAAGACATGGAGGTCTTGTGAGCGGGTTCTTTCCGCCTGTGTCGATTAAGAACCGTCCATTGTTGAATTGCATGAGGTGAGACTTTGTAGTACTAGCTACATACTCCGGTAAGCCTTAACTTGGCTATTCTATTACGAGAATGGCTACTCGCGCATTGGGAGTGGAGAGATGGCGAGAATAGCGTGTACCCACGTGGCAATGGGCTGGATTAGTGGAGTATTGTATTCTCGGGTGGCGCGGACCCGTTCTTGTTTTAGAGGATCTGAGGGCAGGTTGGTATATGTAGGTCAGGGATCTGCATATGTCGTGTGGTTGGGAATCCCCAGCTGGGTTTTGAATCGGTTTGAATCGTCGTTTCTTCTCGGTTATGGAGACTCAACTCACTGTTCATCATTGTAGTTAACAAATGGAACTTGAGTAAGGTTTGAGAACGAGTTGGATATGAAGTTTCATGATCTCAATACGGATCATGTCAGCTTTATATATTATCTTTTTGAAGATAAAAATGTTGAAATAAATAATCTTGTTAGAGAGCTTTTACGCAAAGTCATGGATGATTCGGGGTTTCCCGTAGACACCCGACAGACTTCTTAAGTTACCGGGAACATATGCATAGTCGTCAGAGGTCATTGGACAGTGACAGGTGCATGTGGGCTCTATAATTTAGGAGGTTCTGCCACAGAAGCGTGGCCAAGAGACCATCCCAAAGTCACGCTCCATCTGATAGTACCACTCGGCTGCGATGCCATCCAGATGCAATGACACCAGCCACACCTTCTCGTCCTCTGGCACACGATGCCCGCGGAAGTAGTTGTCACACTTATTGAGCCAATTCAACGGATCCGCCTCTCCAATGAAGCCGGGAAACGGAATTTTGGGTGGGCGATGAGGCTCCCGGCGGCCTTCGACGTTGCCTTGATGACGGTCGCCACGGTCGAAGAGACGGTAGTCGCAGCCTCCGCGATCGAACTCCCGGCCGCCCCTGTCCCAGTTGAAGCCGCGATCGAACTCCCGACCGCCCCTGTCCCGGTCGAAGCCGCAGAAATCGCGGATGAAATCACGGCCGCGGTCACGGTCGTAGGGGCCACGCTCGAAGTCCCTGTCGCGCCCGTAGTTGCGCCCGTCGCGCCCATAGTCGCGTCCGTAGCCGGCCACAGAGTCGCGATCGATGCGACCCGGCTCGCGACGACCGAAATGATCGCACGGGTCCAAGAACCGCTCGCGGTCGCGCAGAGTCCGCGCACGAAACTCCTCCCAGCGCAGTCCGGATCCATGTCGTCGTCATGAGCATTGTCGCGGGTGTTGTCTCTGCCGGCGCGGATGTCATCACCGCCACCCGCAGCATCATCCGTGACACCGCCCTTGCGGGCATCGGCCTTGCCTGACTCGATGCGCGCCAGCCGGTGGTCATGGGAGTTGAGGCGATTGGTGATGGTGGTGAGTTGACCCAAGATACGATCCAATTTGGCATCCATGGCCGCAGGATCGTGGGTGCCGGACATGGTGATCGATACACCCGTGAAGGTCTCTAATACCAAATTGTTACGGCGTGGACGGGTACAATGGGGAGATCGCAGGCGAGAGTGGAGTGGAAGGCTGGATTGAGAATTGGAGCGCAAGGGATAGCGAGGAAGTGGTGCAGCGGGAGGTTCGCCGGCGGTAGCGGCAGAATCGCTCGCAGCCACCGTCGAAGGTAACCTGCCCACCTTGGGAGGTTTATTCCTTCTTCGATAAGTCCTCTTACAATCTCTAAGTGCCCTTTATATAATAGGTGCACTACTAACAACCCAAAATAGATTTCCTAAATATAGATTTCCTAAATTTCCTCCCTTTCCTCTCCTAACTTAATCAGCCGAGCCCCTTAGCCACGGCTAGGCCTGGGCCGGCGCCTATACTGACGCCCTACAAAGGTGTCTATAACAGAAGCAGAATTGCAATTTTCCTTCTCACATTCATCGCGCTGCCACAAAATCAATGGCTCAATACCAGGTGGAAGAGGTTCCTCCTTTTCTGACAAACTATCGCTAGCAACAACAGGCGACTGCGGAAGATGATGTATAACTGCAAATGTCTGTGTTGAACCCCACGGGACAAATCTTTTACGAACTGAAAGGCGCCGAGCAAGCTACTCATTATTGTCACTATATCCATTTTGGCATGGAGGTTTGAATGGCTTACGAGCTATTGCTGCTGCATCAGAAACTGAAAGAATACGTGGAATGAGTGCCTGCCTCCTTACAACCAGGTTACCCCTGACAGAAACCAGAGAAAATATAAGTGATGTCAAAGAAGATGATGTTAATGTGAAGTCGGATTAGCTGCCAATTGTCTATTTCCTGAGCAAACTGCACTACCGACTTAAACCACAAACTTCTCAGTCAGACCTCATGCATCATTCCCACCCCACCCGTCAAACAATCTAATAATCTAATGACGAAAGTAATAAATGGCCGATGGTATAGTACAATTGTACAAACATGCAGCATTGTCAGTAACTTAAGTTAACATTTTATCTCATATTTCTTTCACGTTGTACATTGTCTCATAAAATTGCAGAAACTCTTGGTGTTACATGCTATCTGGTAGTTAAGGTTTCATAAGTCATAAAGAATCGAGCCCTTATTCATAATATTTCTGGAAATGTTAGATAACTTGTCACACTTGTTTGACATTCTTATTATCATAGCACGCATCATTTATAGTAATTAGTAAACAAAATGCCTTAAGTAAGACAGGGCTTAAACCAATTAATTGACATTCAAGGGTTCAGACACTGGATATTGCAGAACAGATTCCTTCAGGAATTGAACCCATCAAATACTTGAAGAAATAATCAATCCTCAACAGGATCAAGCCATGTAACATTATTAGGCTTCCATGGGAATGAGGATTTGAAAATCCTAGTCTATCGTAGTCTAAACAAGACAGTGGGTGGGGGTTTGCGGGTTTGTCTTTGGTTTATGTCATGGAACTATTATAATGAACCTGTAAACATGATCCAAAGCACCCAAATGCAAATGACATGCTTCAGACGGTTCTAGAAAGGTGTGGACTTACTCTAACACACTCTGAAATGAAGGATACAGAATGTTGAATTTTCAACAGAAACACATAAGGCTATCCTTCAATGTTCAAAAGTCATATCCATTCATCAAAACTCTCCCCAGCATCTAAACCACCACTAATCCTCGATAGTACCAATCAGTACAACAACAGCTCACGAGCACATAAGTCGAAGACGAGATCCACTAGTCTAGAGGTTGATGTGACGGCGTCAGGGCGTACCTGACAAGAGCATCCACGTTCTGCGATTTCCTCTCCTTATCGGGAGCCGCCGCGCCGCGACGCAGGCCCCGAAGTGGCCGCCTGCCGTGGCCACGTGGTCGTCCCCGTCCAAGTCACCGCCCTCGCCGCAATCGCTTCTGCCTGCTTCCTCCGCTTCGTCCCCGCCGCCCGCGTCACTGCTTTCCCCCACGTATTCGTCGTCGTCGTCGTCCGCCTCGGCCCCGCGGTTCGCCTCCGACTCTGACTCCTCCGAGTCGGATGAGACTGCAACGAGCTCGTCCTCGTCCCCATCGCTGCCGCGGCGGTTGTACTGGCTCCTCGAGGGCATCGCTGCCGCGGATGGTGAATAAGCGGAATGGGGATGAATGGAGCTGGCTCTAGATGCTTCGATTGCTGTTTCGGCTTTGGGGATTAGCGAGTGGAGAGGCGGATTCGATTGGAGTTGAATGAATTTTGGGGAAGGCGCTGCAAAATTTTTGGCGGTACGAACGGAAGCGTGCAGGGGAAGATGCGGGAAATGAAAAAAAAAAAAAGGTAAATGGGCCAAGCTAGGTGGCTAGGGTCCCGACGTATTTAGCCCATCTGTATCTGGATAGCGCGTAACAACGGACGACTTGGTTAATTGGGCCACCTGTTGCAATCGAAAATGGTTAGGCCCTCCTAAGAGCATCTTCACCGAATCACCGGATCCTTTCCCTTAGCATCTTAAAATTTAGATAGGTAGGAGGCCTTTTTGGGGCAAAGTATAGGTAGGGGCTGAGAAAACTAAAACTAAATTATAATATGATCTAGCATATTGAGAAAATCTCATCCTTTTATATATGGGGCCTCACATGTTAGTGATAAATAAATATTTTTTTGCTTTCTCTTCTCTTCCATTTCCCTGTCTCAACAATGCTTTGCGAAAGTGAGAGGCACTAACAACACGACAACCACAATGGCGGGCACGCGACACGCCAATGGCTACCCGCCACTGGGTGGGCGGCAAGGCACGGCATGGCAGTGGTGGCATCCTCGACTCAGGGCATAGCATTGGCATGGGATGGCTGCTACGCAGTGACGATGACCCTCCTGTTTAGTGAGGGAAGAAAGGAAGTGAATTGAAAAAAAAAAACTTGTTCTTCCTCTTTCTTCGAGGGATTCAGGGTGGTTCTCTCATATTTGAGAAGAAATATGAAAGGGGGTATGCTATAATTTGATTTTTGCCATCAAACTCTTGTAGAAAAATATTATCACCTAATCTCAATAAGATGGAGATGCTCTAAGGATTGCCAAGGATAACCATGATCTAGCTTTTTTTCTATGTAACTAGCAGATATTAGGTAAGGACTTATTACATCCAACTTGCACATGAAAGAAACTACAATTGTTGCGAGCACCCCAAAATTCTAAAGACAAAACTTACAAAGCTGTGAACAGCAGATTATTCAATTATTATTGGTTAAAGATTTTCTTTCTTGAAAAAAGGATTTGGTTCTCACCTCTTCGGTAGTGATTTTTTTTATCTAACATGGTGGTCTAAGAACATGTTTAGATCCATTAGCACTAAAAATTAGCTAGCTAATAGCTAATAGTTGCTAATTTTTAGCTACCTAATTTTTGGTGGGAGCTGTTTGGATCCACCTGCTAATAGGTGGTTAGATAGTGAGTTGAAGATGCATATGAGCTATCAGCACCTATTAGCAACTCCAAAACTGCTAATAAAACTAATAGTTAGTAGCTCTCCTGCTAATAATTTGCAGGTTTATTAATACGTCTGTTTGGATCCATTAGTACTAATTTTAGTGCTAATGGATCAAACAGGCCCTTATTTAGGGTATGTTTTGATTCTCTCCTCTAAACTGTAAAACTAAAGCTCCAAACATGTGGTATAAAGTTAGACCTAAACTTTAGTCCATTTCATATTAGAGCTTTGGACAAAAAAAAAAGAGCAAAAATGCTTTAAAGTTTTTAGAGCTCTAAACTTTAGAGGAGGAATCCAGACAAACCCTTAGGGGCTCGTTTAGTTTCCACCAATTCCAAACTTTGACACTATGCAAAAAGAAGATTCCCCGTCACATCAAATTTGCGATACATGCATGGAGTACTAAATGTTGACGAAATCAAAAATTAATTGCACAGTTTGGTTATACTTTACGAGACGAACGTTTTAAGTCTAATTAGTCAACGATTGGACAATTATTACCAAATAAAAACAAAACGCTACAGCGCGCTACAGTGTATTCAGAATTCAGTCGGCGCCAACTTTGCAAGGAACTAAACGTGGCCTAGGTTTTAAGCCTTGCGATAGTTAACAGCTGAGATTTTGTGGTGAAATTTTTTAGTTGAAGTAGATTACCCTTCACATGAAAGTTGCCTGTACATATCCACATGTGCGTGAGGCTCGATTATGTCGAGACTTTACACATAAAAGCGTTGCAGTATAAAACGAAAAAAAACGCGGTTAATACATAGTGGAGTATATATACTACTTATATGTACAAACTAATTGATAGCACCATCTCTACTTCTCGAGCTTATTGAACATCCAAATCCACGAGCATGAAAGTTGCATTCAGGAAATGCCGCATCTGCAGAATGAACTGACGAACCAGTTGCGGATCTAAGGATTTTCTTAAAGGATATGCCATACCAAAATTTCACATGTATTTCGATAAAATCTATTTACCAACTCGGTAAACAATTATAAAAAGTTGCTACTCAATTCGGCATATAAGCAAGCAAAAATATGATCAGTCTTCAATATATAGATTAGTTCCTCTATTTTTTATAAGGCGCACACGTATATCAAGAATCGAACTTTAATATATTTGACCAATATTTGACTAACAAATTTGAATTATTATAATGCAAATTAGAAAATTCTGATACTGTTAGATTTGTAATTAAATGTACTATTCAATTATCATAGGTTCATAAATATCAATAATATAATATAAAATAAATAAATGGTTACAACATAATTTAGGAGACCGTGTCATGCGAAACTTCGCCGTTTATATAGGAGTACAAAGTTGAAAAATTGCATGAAGTACAATACGAATATAACTCACACTCACGTGATATTGATGTTGATCAATCTCGCTACAATATATATAAATATAACACCGCCGCAACTGTAGTCTTTACTCCACGAGTCCTTCCAACAGGGAGTATTTGTTTGTAGGCTGATCCTGCATGCGATGTGTCCCTTCTATCGAGTCGTGGGCGACCGTAAGGCAGGCAGGTGAATCTACTCATGCGAGCGACGGCCCATTCCAAACGCGCGAGGTGCAATACGCATGTCACGCATGGCTCAATCGCAGGGTATGCCGTCGCATATACGGCATACCTGTAGATCCGCCACTGTGACGAACTCGTCGAGAATGACTAAATGTCTACATACCAAACTTCCAAGCGCACGACCACACAAAGCGATGTTTACATACACTTCACTCTAATTTACATCTAAACCCAGCGATCTCGCCGACGCCCTAGCAGGCTAGCACTACTCCAGGTCCAGGTCCAGCTGGCTCATCTTGAGATGGAGGTGCTTGTGCGCGAACGCGTAGAGCCTGCCCATCTCGTCGCCGTCCACCGCGCCGTTGCGGTTGGCGTCGGCCGCGCGCACCGCCTCCCGCGCTTTCCACCACACGAACCACAGGTTGAGGCTGCGCAGCGCCCGCTCCAGCTCCTCCCGGCTGATCCGGCCGTCGCCGTCCGCGTCGAACTGGCTCAGCCACGCCCTGAACTCCTCCACCGTCGTCTCCCCCTCCGGCAGCGCACGGTAGTACCGCATGAACGCCATTGTTACACACTACTGGTCCGGTGATGATAGCTATCCAGTATCCACGAGACAACCGTGGGCTATAGTTGATAACAACGCCGCTATATATACTGTCTCCCGGCCGGTCTGCGAGGTTAAGCCGGAACCGGAAGGATCAGGAGATTTGCAGTTCGGTTGCCGCACGTTTGGTGCGAGAGCGACGCCGGTCATGGACGGGGCCGGACGACATGGGATGGGGGCGGGGCGTGGAATTCGTGTGCATTGTTAGGCAGAGAGGAGAATCAAAGGTGCTGATCCTTGGACACCGCTTGGCCTTTTGACAGATGGTTAAGATTCGTTGCTTGAAACGAGAAGGCCGGCATCAGAATTCGTGGATAGGATGTGCTCGCGCGGGGACGAAGAATCGGATGCCTTCAACCTTTGCCGCGCACGCACTATTCATGCAGTGGACCGAGTGGTCATGCTGCTTGCCTAGTGACAAATTTGATCTCGTGGACATGGAACAATGAAGAATGTGACTATGAGCCACTATGGACAATTCATCTATGTTGCCAGTCGTATCCAAGTAGCCATGTACTGTTCTAGAAGATGACCGAGACGCGACGTTTGCTCAAGGATTCGTAACCGCCAGGTGCCAGGTTGCTTGTGAGAAGCAATAATCACGCATTGACTTAGCCATTAGGTAAGCGTTGGTCAAGAATTTCAGCAAAATCTTAGGTTGATTCTGCCTTATAGCAGAAGTAATCAGCTTCACAGCTGGTATTAATCAAGATAAGAAGATTCATTAAAAAAAAACAAGATAAGAAGAAATTATGACACTGAGCATTGAACTTCCAAAGTTTTCCCATGTGGGGAGCAAACTTCAAGGCCGAGGAAACCAATGCGCGTGCAGGTGATTTGCTATGTCCATTCAAGTCTGAATGACTGAATACACAATACGTACCTTCTTCGACTTCAATGAACAAGGCCCAATTTAGATGCAAATTTTTTTGCAAAATGAGCACCGTAGTATTTTTTGTTGTTATTTGAGAATTAGTATCAATCATAGTTTAATTAGACTTAAAAGATTCGTCTCATGGATTTCGTCTAAACTGTGTAATTAGTTTTATTTTTTATTTATATTTAATGCTTTATGCATGCGTCCAAAGATTCGATATAATGGAGAATCTTAAAAAATTTTGCAAAATGAAGTGGAACTAAACTGGCCCCAAATCTTTTTACCAACTGGTGAAGGTCAGCTCTAGATAGTACCTTCCCACCACTGTGTTGTTCATCAGCAAAAGTCGGTTTTCTACCGGGTTTTCCAATTCTCTAGTCAGATCAGATTCTGAATCATACGGCTAGCACTTTGCAACGACTCGCTGCGTCGGAGTACTAGTCATCAACTTCTTATCCGCTGTAGCATCAGTCATGTTGTTTTTAACACTTTCCGAAATATTCACAAACGCGTGTCCAACATCATCATCTTCCTTCGTCCCGTTCGTTTGAACTTGTTTAGATGATAAGCTATGGCTGAAAGTACTGTCGACTGATTTAGTGTGAAAGAAAAATATTATTTATTGGCTGAAAAAGTATGATTTATAAATCAAACAGTCCAAACAAACAGGGTGTTTATCATCTTGCAGAGGTAAAAAGATAGTATATGCTGCGATTGTGCATCGGAATGTGCATATATGCTAAGGCTCTAAAACGCTCAGTGCTTTTGTAAATTGTAACCAACCCCTTCCACCATTGGAATTAAAGAACTGCACCTGCATCAGATTGAACACGATAGCATTATTTTGCTTAGCATATACATATGAACGAAGTTTTTTACTCCATTCATTTCAAATCATAAGTCATTTTTTTATTTTATCCTATCTATCTATATTTAATAGAATGAGTTAGAGCAACTCCAAGAGAATCTCTAAATCCTTCCTAATTAATTACTGGGAACAGAGATTTTGATGAAAAATATCCTCCAATAGACTCTTTAATTGATTATTTAAATATAGCCATCTTCTATTCCAAGTTTATCTCTAGCCAAAGATAGAAAACAAGAATGGCTATATAGAGTGATAGAAAATTGTTGGGGGGTTAAAAGATATAGAAAACGATTTTTATACAAATAACTCTCTAAATGATAATTCAGAGAGTGAACTTTAAAAAGGCTCTCGGAGATGCTCTTATAATTTGAAACGGAGAGAGAGTATCTTAGCATGACAACTAATCTCTATAACTAATATTTAGCTGCTAAAAAATGAGAACCTATTTAGATCCTCGCCTAATAATTTCAAGAGTACTAATATTTTAGCTACCATCCGGCTAACAATTACTCCTAGTTATTAGTTCTGCTGACTAGCATAGTTAGGTGGTCTAAACAGCCTAAACCCTATATCTAATAGGAAAGCTAGTTGGTGCATTATTTTGTGCTACATTATGGTCCCCTAAATTTCTCTATCTTCCCTCTACCTCTCGCGTTGAGAAAGAGACAGAAATTCAGCTCTAATGAGCAGTAGCATCTAAAATGGCAGTGGGTGCAGGATCTCTGCAAAGGGGGCCTACTATACGTGAGTCCGTGACTCTGGACTTGTGGGAGACTATTGGGTCAAGCCTCCTGGAGCCTGGGCCGCCTGGCTGGTGAGGAGTGAGGCTCCGACAACAACGTCCAGAATAAAGAGTTATTCATTATTTGAGTAGCGCTACATGTAAAAGGTTTGATATTTATTCGGTATCTTCTCCAACAATAAAATATAAAAGAGATTTTTTTTCAAATAGTTTTCTAGAAGAGAGGATGTCCATATTTTGACTGTGCCTCTCAAGCAAGCCAAAATAGGTCTTCCATATAGATACTCTGTTGGATGTTGATTTTATGTCTCTTGCTATTTATTTTGGGTTTAAGTGTTCATAGGTTCTTTGTTGGAGATGGTCTATGAAGTGCTAAAGAGAATCATTAAAAGCAGCACTGGTCCAGCCTTGCGCCTTGCGCCTTGCAGTTCGCATAAACAAGAGATCGTACTCCCAAGCAATGTATCCGTCGGCCCATCCGGACGTGTATAACAAATTCAGCAGCTCCGGGGCTCCGCCAACGGCGCCGCCGCCGGCAGCGTACCAGCAGCAGCACGGGGCGAACATGAACCCTTCACGCCCCGGCGGCGGGCTGAGGAAATGGTCCACCGGCCTTTTCCACTGCATGGACGACCCGGGGAACTGTAAGTCATCCCTTCGTTCCCCGCTTCCTCTTCGTCTTCTCCAGCCAGAGTTCATAGCAGTCCTGTGGCGATTCAAGCTCAGTTAGTTGCCACTTGACATGCGTTTCTTCCATGGCGCTCAGGTCTCATCACATGCCTGTGCCCCTGCATCACGTTCGGGCAGATCGCTGACATCGTGGACAAAGGCACCTGCCGTGAGTCGATCTCCTCTCAGTCTCAGCTTCGTCTGGTTCTCAATCTCTGAAACAACTCAAAGATCTCGCCGATTCACCGCCGCAAAACTCTGACTTGGCAGCATGTCTCGCGAGTGGACTGATCTATGGGCTCATCTGCGCCTCGACGGGGATGGGGTGCCTGTACTCGTGCCTCTACCGGTCCAAGCTGAGGGCCGAGTACGACGTGGACGAAGGGGAGTGCCCGGACTTCCTGGTGCACTGCTGCTGCGAGCACCTGGCGCTGTGCCAAGAGTACCGCGAGCTCAAGAACCGCGGGTTCGACCTGGGGATCGGTAAGTGCAGCGCACGCTTTGCTTCAGTTCGAATTCTCAGGTCAGGTGCTGCTGGCGAGCTTGCTTGCAAGCAAGCAACTTTTTACTGTGTGTGTGCTGAACTGCTGATAGCCATACCTACACTGATGTGTCGTGTCTGTGCGTGAGTAGGTTGGGAGGCCAACATGGACCGGCAGAGGAGAGGAGTTGCCGGCGGCACCGTGATGGGGGCGCCGGCCATACCGCTCGGCATGATTAGGTAGGTGATGGGTATGAAATGGCAACGCTTGCTTCCATGGTGACATGGTCCTTTGTTGCTATGTAATTTACTTTTGTTTCCCGAACCTATGTAATTTATCTGCCTTTTTTTCCTCTCTCGTCTGGAGTCGTGTGGACGACGCTGCTTTTTAGTTGGGTGTGAATCGTGTCCGTGGTATCTGTAATATATGTATTCTACTGAAGTGGATTTAAGGTGTAAGTTGAGTGGAGTTTAAATTTGAAACCCGCCATGCCGGAGAGGCAAATGGTTATCCACTAGTTGAGTGGACCTTAATTAAGTTTAGGTGATTTAGAGTGTGATTGGTTTCTTTCCCAATATAATACGATGGCCTGATTTAATAAATGCAGTAGCCTTTTGTTTGGTTGTCGTATCCATCCACCACACAAGCGATGGAGAGAAGCTGTTTGGTTGGTCATTCCTACCTCGTCTCGTCAAGGTTTAGAATTGCGGGCTATAATAAATAGTGGCATCTTTTTTTTTTAAGCTAGCGCAGCTATAGCGGAGATAGGACACAGAGGGGTTTTAAAGAAAAAAAATCATAAAAATACATAATTCGTGCATAAAAATAAAAGAATCATGAAATTTGATGAACACAAATATGTTTTCAAGGCTTTAGGAGTCTAGGAAACATTATTTAATATAGAGATTGAAATTTAGAGATTGACGCGATCTAGAATTTATAGTTGATAATTTCTTTTATTTGAGTTCTTTTAGAGGCTCTATTATTCTTTTTAAATTATCAAATTTCAAAATTCATTTTTTTGAATTTTTCAATGATCTCGGTTGTTGATACGGTCTATTCCAGAGTTGTAGTTTTTAAGAAGATCTATAGCTTTGTAGTTTACAACTCTTTATCTGAGATCGTTTAGAGGCCCAATATTTGTTCTAAATTCTTAGCTCCTAATGAGATCCACAATTTTGCAATTGACACCATCTGTATCTAAAATCGTTTATAGCCTAAGAATTCATTTTAAATTCTAGATTTTGAAATCCAAATTTTAGGATTCTTTAAAAATGACCTCAGACGTTGATGGTCTATACTAAAGTTGTAGATCTGAACAAGATCTATAATTTCGTAGTGGATGCCTTTCTATCTGAGGTTATTTAGAGGCCCAAATATTCATTTTAAGTTTTGGGGTTATGATAATTAATTTACTTTTTCAAAGACCTTAAACGGTGACATGCTCTATACCGAATTTATAGTGCTCGACGAGATCTAAAACAATTTATGGTCTGTTTATTTGGGCTTCCTAGGAGCTTTTGGACCTTTCAAAAGCCCAAAAAAACTTCTAGAAGTCAAAAGCTAGAAACTCACTATAGCAAGCTTTTGGGTTTTTTTGGCTTATGAGAGTTGTTTGGCTTCTGGAAAATCCAAAAGCTAGGAGTCTAAAAGTGGCCAAAAGCTCAAACCAACAAGACCTTAGTGGATTTTCTGCATTTGAGATCATTTAGGAGCCCAAGTATTCAATAAAAGATAGCATGACTAAAAAACCCAAGAACATGTAGCGTGCGCACCAGACATGTTATACAACAACCAAACACAACCATCAAAACCGCACTAGACTATTTAGGGTAATTTGTCTGGTTTTGAAAGTTAAAGGGTATGTTGTCTGTATACGAGTTCGAGAGTGTTTCTTAAATTTACTGACAAGTTCAAGAGGCAATTAAGACTTTAATCTTTATTTTAGCAGTGGGATGTAATTTAGAAATATATATCCTACTTTATGATTATGGAATTATTTTTCATAATAATATATATTAATACTTTATGCATACACTTAGGATATTTTGGTTTATCATTTATAATGATAGAGGTGGATAATTTATATGTGGATTAATGGTGTTCCTTTATATTTTCTTCAATGACCCCTCTGATAATTTGGATACAAACCCTGAATTACTTTGCATTGTCTTTCATAATGACACACATACGTAATTTAGATATAAATTAGGAGATTATTTTAAACTATCTTTCATAATGGTATATATTGGTATGCAATTAGCGATTACTGAAAATTATATTTCATAATGATGAGGATAAATAATTTAGATGCTAGTTCATAGGGTTAACTGTGTTTTTAAAATGACAAATGTGGGTTTTTTCAGAAAAAAGGAAAGTGTTGTTTCAAATCTAATTATTGTAAGAAATTTTAATTTTTTTCCTAACGCCTCTCGCGAGAAATATTGAGCCGGAGCTCCGTGGTAAGATTTTTCATCTTTTATTAGTTACTAGCGCCCGTGCGTTGCAACGGGAGAAAAACCTATCAGATATCAATGGAAACCAATGAGAAAAATAATACTCTCTCTGTTCCAAATTATAATTCGTTTTGACTTTTTTGGTTCATTCATTTTGCTATGTATCTAAATATATTATTTATCTAGATGGATAGCAAAATAGATGTACAAAAAAAATCAAAATGACTTATAATTTGAAACGGATGAAGTACAATCTATTTATGTTTTATCATTTTTTTTATAAAATTCCAAGTCTATAATTTATTTTACAATGATGACATATATAATATAAGTCAATATTGACAATAATATGATAATGTTCTATTAAGCTTGTGTCAATTTTAAATACCACCTTTTCAACTTTTTCTCCTATCACAAACCACAAAAGTATTTAAACTTAAACATAGAACAACTTTAATTTTCATACTATCCGGTGTTGCTATAGCTAAATATTGAGCGTTATGGCTTCCTTTGAGAACTCATGAAATATGTAATTCTAATATCCTATTAAAGTCGACAAGAAGTTTATTGTTGATGTGTCAAGGATTGCTTTGTTCACCGATGATTATGAGAAGTGACCCCTCAATTTTTTACATAGCAATCTTTGTCGAGAATTTAGATGAGATTAGCGAACAAACTGCTTAAGATTTAATTAATGGTTTGATTAGTTGAAAGGTCCTAATGGCTAGAGGGGGGTGAATAGCCTATTAAAAATTTCTATAACAACACTAAGACAAATGATTAGTCAATAAGATGACGAAGCGAATTTTACGCTAGCACTATACTTGGGTTGCAAGCCACCTATCCAATTATATTTTCTATGATCTCTAGTATATCACAACAAAGCTATGTCGGACTCGTTCTCGGCCCTCTTCTCTCGGTGCGGTGCGGGCTGTTGGGCCACCTAGGGCTCTGGGCGTTGCTTTATAGCCCCGGGGTCCGAGCTCCATCTATGGCGGACGGGGCGGACGGCTGGCGATGCGCCGTTGGCATCGAACGGTATCGCGGGCTCGGGTGGTTGGCACGGAGGTTGCGTGGGCGCGGCGCCAAGGGGATAGGGCCAGGTGATTTCCGTGACCCCGGGCCCACGCCTGTCACCTTGGTCGGGTCTCGGTCGGAGGCGGTGTCGGCGTGGGGAGGAAGACGACACTGTGCTGGGGTGTGGCTGACGTGTGGGGTCCAGTGGCAGTGGCGGCAAGCGAAGCAGGAAGGCGCGCTGGGCTGGCCACGTGAGTTGGGCCGGCCTGCGCGCGAAGCAGGGCTGCTTGCGGGGCCGGGTGCTGCCGCGCGCGCAAGCTGGGCTGGCTGCCTGGGTCGGCTACCGATGCGCGCTAGTGGGCCGAGCAGGCCGAGCCAGCTGCGGGTCTTCTTCTTTTCTTTTCCTTTTTCTGTTTTATTTTTCTTCTCCTTTGTTTAAATTCAAATTTGATTTGGAATTTGAATTCAAAATTGGTGTACCATATTTGTTGGAGTTTTAGATATGAGGCCCACAACATTCTTTTATATATATTAGGAACTCTATTTAGCTATTTTGTATGACAAAAATAGGTGTAGTTTTGTTATACAAAAATAGAAATAGTTCTCTTTAAGCATTTATTCTTTGATTTGATTAATAATTACTTTATGGTTTATTTCTTTAAAGGAGTTGTTAGGCATTACATAAAACAAATGGAAATCCAAATCACCATTTGAATTAATCAATGTATGCTACATTTTATTTGTCAGTATTTAAATAAACATAATTTAACAAATGACATGCCATGCTCATGAAATTGTTTAGTTGGGTTACAACTAATGCAACACCTAGGGTTGGCTCCTACAGATATCACTCAACGTTGCATGGGGTTTTGAAGAAAAATTTTTGTAGTTGTGATTTTTGGTGTGTTGATTTTTGGGTTGTTACAGTCCTACCCCTTAACAGAATCTCGTCCCCGAGATTAAAGCGTAGCGTACCCTTCGAAGAGATAAGGATAGTGTAGCCGGAGGTCAGACTCTTTCTCCCATATTGCTTCTCTCTCAGTGTGGTTGCTCCATTGGATCTTGCACATAGGAATAGTCTTGCTTCGGGTCTCTTTGGTATCTCTGCCTAAAATTCTGATAGGATGTTCTTTATACTCAAGTGTATCTTGAATGTCAAGTGTATCAGTTGGAACTACTTCATCGAGCACTCTCAAACACTTGCGTAGCTGTGAGACATGAAATACAGGATGTACACCCACCAATTCCTCAGGTAGCTCAAGTTTGTAAGCGAGTTTTCCAATCCTCCTACGTATTTTGTATGGCCCAACAAATCTGGGGGCAAGTTTTCCTTTCATATGGAATCTGACAGTCCCACGTAGCGGGGATACCTTGAGATAGACGAAGTCTCCCACATTGAACTCAAGTTCTCTTCTTCTTTTGTCAGCATAGCTCTTGTATCGACTTTAGGCAATTCTCAAATTCTCCTTTACTTGAGCAGCTCCTTCTTCTGCATCTTGAATCTTAGCGGAATCAAAGAACGATCTTTCACCCGGTTGAGACCACATCAAAGGTGTTCTACAAGATCTGCCATATAGAGCTTCAAACGGCGACATCTTGATGCTGGCTTGGTAGCTGTTGTTGTAAGAGAACTCTACATAGGGTAAGCATTTCTCTCAATCAGAGCCATAATTCAGTACACTAGCGTGAAGCATGTCTTCTAAGATCTAATTTACTCATTCTGTCTGTCCATCTGTCTGTGGGTGATAAGCGGTACTGAAATCAAGTTTG